TATCTAGCTAGCTATCTGTCTGTCTATCATCGATAGGGTCTGCTATGCAGTTCGGCTGCCAGGCTGGCCTTGAATTCGTGGAGATCCTCCTGCCTCACGCACCGCCAGGCCTGGCTGCACAGCCACTTCGCGCAGGCGAGAGCCGGCGTTAGAAAGGCGCTCGGTCTGATTATAAAGCCGCTTGCTCTCTGTAGCATACTCCTTCGCGGCAGGTTGTCACTGATTTGGGACGACTCTCAGCTCTTCCTGCTGTTCTGGTTTATGCCTTAACCCCTGGACCCTCACCGCCAGCCCCGACGGTTCCCCGTGCGGAGCGTAACCTCTCAGTCCCTCCTACGCTCTCCGGGCGCCTCAGCCCCGTGGACAGCCTCGGTGGCAGCGCCTGGGGAAGGGACGGATGAGCTCCGAGCGCTGAGACAGGTTTTCTTTGTTCACAGGACCGAGGCAGGTGTATTTTGGAAGGTAACCCAGAGGGTGAAAGTGTCCGCTTAGGCGAGTGGAGACTCTCCCGGAGGGAGAGAAGGATCGGGCCACCGGGACCTTTGCACACCAGCGTCTTGAGCAACACGCAGCCTCGTCCCGTGTGACACTCGGCGTGGACCGCGGCCTTGTGCAATCGCTCCTGGTGCCCGAGGCCTTCTGTGCTCTGGTCTGAGTCATTTCCTCTTAAAACTTTACATCCACCCCGGCGGTGCTCAGAAGTACCGGTCTTCTGATTAGACAGCTGAGTAACGCGGCCCTTCTGTCCAGCTGTGACCCTGCGCTAGCTCGCGGCTGCAATGACTCGCGTTTGGCTGTGACCTTTCACCTAGACATCTGGTGCCTGGAGAAGATGAACAGAGCCTGCAGGGGTGGCCTCCTCGCTCTTCTTCCTCTGCTCATACTTGGTTTGTGTGCCCGCGTGGTGGCACACGCCTGTAATCCCAGCACTCAGGAGGCCGAGGCAGTGGGACTGTTGTGAGTTCGAGACCAACCTGCGCTACATAAGTGAGCTCAAGGGCAGCCTGCCCTGCAGAGTGAGACCCTGTCTCAAAAAGACAAAAAAAAAAGAATTGATTTGTGTATGTGTGTGTGTGTGTGTGTGTGTGTCATTTTTGAGACAATGTCTCACTGCAGTTCAGGCCGGGCTTGAACACACAGCTTCCCAAGTGCTGGGATCATAGTCGTGCACTACCATGCCTGGCTTCAACTTAGATCTGAGATATCTAAGTATTTCATAAACATCGTTAACATGCAGGATTAGAGTCCCTTTTTTCAGTGCTGGAGATTGAACCCACTATATCCGCAGCCCTTTTTACAGTTTTGTTTTGAGACGGGCCTTACCTGGGCTGAGCTGCAATTTGTGATCCTCCTGCCTCAGCTTTCCAGAGTGCTAGGACTGCAGGCACGGGAACAGCTCTGAGCTTCCCGTTTGTACTTAGAGACCTCGTCCCAAAGCGGCCTCTCTGGGAGCTTCCTCGCCAGGGCCCCTCCCCCCAGCCCCGCGTGTCTGAGTCCCCGCTTAGATCACGCCACCCCCTTGTACACTGAGCTGTCTGCGAGCGCTCCTCCTGTGGGAGACCGCAGCTGCAGCGTCCCGGGGGTTGGGGACTGATGCTACCTATTGCGTTGGTGCATAGCTGCAGGTTTTACGAAGTGTCTCACAAACAGCGTGAACTGGAACTGTCCCCAGTACTCTATTTTAGATGAGTAAAGGAAATGCCAGGCGATATTTGCCAAGGCATTTATTGTTTTTAATGAAATAAGTCAAAGTAATTGGTGACAGTGCTGTCTCCGCGTTAATAAATGAAGGTATGCTGAGAGGTGAGTCTGCAAGAGCAGCACTGCCCGAGGTGGTAGCCATGACCACAGGTGCCTGTTTACATTTAAATGAACTAAAAAGACAATTTTAGCCAGGCCTGCTGCCTCACACCTGTAATCCCAGCACTTGGGAGGCTGAGGCAGGAAGATCACTTCGAGTTCGAGGTCAGCCGGGGCTACATAGTGAGCTCAAGGCCAGCCTGAACTACATAGCGAGACCCTGTCTCAAAAAGAAAAAAAAAAAAAAAAAAAAAAAGACGATTTTAAACTCCAGTCTTCACTTACAGGACCCACGTGCCAGGTGTCCAGGGGCCTCATGCGTTAGTGGCTGGAATGTGGGTGGTACAGACATAATACATTTCCATCGCTGCAGGGGCAGCGCCAGTCAGGAATCCAGGTGCAGGTCACAGAGTTAAAGTAAAGTTTAGGCGCCACTAAGAAACCACTCTTGGGGCTGGGGATTTAGCTCAGCGGCACAGCGCCTGCCTGTCAAGCGCGACGTCATGAGTTCGATTCCCAGTACTGGAGAAAAACAAAGAAACCACTCTTGCCGGGCGTGGCGTTGCATGGCTGTCACCCCACCTGCTACGGAGGCTGAGGCAGGAAGAGTGAGAGTTTGAGGCCGGCTTGGGCGACTTAGTGAAAAGTGTGTCCAGAAATAAAAGGGGTTAGGAGTGAGTCTCAGTGGGAGAGTGCTTGCCGAGATGAGTGAGGCCCTGGGTTCAATCCCCGAAAGGAAAAAAAAAGAAGCCATTCTTGTGAGTATATGGGGGGACATTAATAACATCCTCTAGGAGAAGGGCTGTTAGTGACACACCTTTGGGACATTCAATACTAGGTGACTCAAGACTTACAATGAAAAGAAGGAAAAAAGGCCATTCTTAAAAACAAATGCCCTGCAAAATTGCTCTGAGGAAGTCAGGTGTGTTGATGTACATCTGTAATCTCAGCACCAGGGAGGCTGAGACAGGAGGATTGAAAATTCAAGAACAGTCTTGGCCGCATAATTGTGGAAAACAACCTTCTTTAGTTTATCTTTCAAGAGCCTGACCAAGCCGTACGGTTGATTCTGGAGGAGGTCTAGCAAAAACGTTCGTGTAAAAGGAAGTGATAGCAGGACCTGCGTCCCTGTGGAAAGCTGCGGGACGACAGTAGGTGCTTTGCTGAGATATCCCCGAAGCATGATAACAGGGCTAACTAAGTCAAGTCTCATTCCTGTGATAATTGAGTTGCATTGTCCTGGCCAATCCTGTTAATTATTCCTCCCATTTGCCCTGTTGCTGCCTTTTATTTGTATCCCAATAAAAGGCTAAGGAGGCTGGTAATGGAGGCTTCAGTCTGAGAGGCTGCAAGCCCCCTGCTCCCATAACCGTGTCTCCCTTGTTTTTCTTTTCATCTGCAGGCACCTCGTTCTCGGGACCTGTCACCCCAGACAGAAACTGACTATGCACCGACACATAGTGAGACCCTGGGGAAGGCGTGGGTGTGGGTGGGAGACAGTCGCCTTTTTTTTTGGTACCGGGAATCGAACTCAGGACCTTGCACTTGCCAGGCAGCCACCGTGCAGCTGAGCTGTATTCCCAGCCCGAGAAGGTTGCTTTGAGGAAAACCTCTTAAAGCAAACCAAAAATTACCAAAATTATTTTTGTAGAGCTTTTTCAAGATATTCAGAGTGAAAAGTTGGAATATAAAGGTTGGAGTTGTAAAAATGTGTTCATTCGCCAGCGATTCTCCTGGCATTTAGGCCCACTTTTAAAGTAGAGTAGGCTTTGAGTCGGGGTGGCGCATGCCCGCAGTCCCAGCATTTGAAAGGCTGGGGCAGGAGGGTTGCCGTGCGTTTGAGGCCGGTCTGAGCTACACAGTGACCTCAAGTCGTACAAGTGAACTGAACTGCATAGTGAGACCTTGTGTCAAAAAACCCCACAAAAACGTAGGATATGCTTTATTTATTTATTTTTATTTTTTATTTTTTTGGAGATGCTTTAATTAACTTCCTTTTTTTCTGGTGCCATGGACTGCACCCAGGGCTTGGGTGAGCGTGAGCTGCACCCCCGGGCCCCCTCTGTCTGTCTGCACTCCCCCGCTGTGTCCTTGGCCCGCCCCGACCCCCGGCTCCCGGTGTCTCCTCAAGGCAGAGGTTTCGGAGCGGCCTCCCCGAGCGCCCTGTGCGCACCGCGGCAATGTGTGCGGCCGCAGGCTGCGCTTGGAGCAGCCGAGCTCCGGCCCAGAGGCAAAGCCCAGGGCAGCAGGTATGTTCAGGTTTGCGGGTCACAGGGCCTCTGCCCCGATCGCTCAGCGCCTGGCACGAAGGCCGCGCAGACGGCGATCAGAGGGCGGCTGCTGCCGCGGGGCGCACGATCGAAGCCCGGAGCCGGTCAGAGCGGGGGCACGGGGCCGCGGCGGGACGGCCGGGGGCTCTCTCCCTCTTGCCGCCCGGGCAGGCAGCTTTGACGAGGCCGCTTCGCTTGCACAGCGGCCGCGCCGGCACGGTGTCTGAAGCTGCCGCGCTGGTCGCCCGGCCTCCGAAGCGCCCTCCTCGCCTCGCCACACTCCAGCCCGGTCCTGGCACGGTGACGGTCTGGGCTGGGGAACGGCTCTGAGGGCCCGAGGCACGTTTCCTGTATCTCGGCGCGGCACAGGCACCAGCTCCGCTGCGCGCCCCTCGGCTGGGCTCCTCGTTTGGCTTGAAATGGGACGCGACTGCAGTGCCCACCGGCTGCCCGACACTTCCCCTGTGGGCCACTTTCTCCTCCCTCTCCCACTGCCCGCGGGAGGCCTCGGGCACAAAACGCAGCTATTTACTATTACTCTTAACTTTTGCTTTTGAGACAGGGTCTCGCGATGTAGCCCAGGCTGGCCTCAAAGGAGAATGACCCTCCTGCCTCAGCTTCCCAAGTGCTGGGATTACAGGCGTGTGCCACCGCACCTACTGTTCTTAGACAGTAAGAGGACCTGGTTGATGCTTCTGGGCTAAGATCCAGGTAAAGCAGCCATGAAAGGGATATGAGAAAACGGGGGGATAGAGAGAGTCCGGAGGGCTTGGGTGACGGGCAGTCGTGAGTCCTCTGGGGCAGCTGGGCCAGGTCCACGCTGGGGCAGGGCTTTTTTTCCAATACAACTTTTTTTTTTTTGTCTTTTTGAGACAGGGTCCTGCTATGCAGTTCAGGCTGGCCTTGAGCTCACTTTGTAGCCCAGGCTGGTCTCGAACTTGCAAGGATCCTCCTGCCTCAGCCTCCTATTACAGACGTGCACCATCACACCCAGCAAGGAATCGTTTGCAAATGCAGATTCTTATCCACTGGGTCTGACCGGGCCCGATTGTGCTGCTGTGACCCTGTGCTGCTGTCTAAGGGCAGGGCTGATGCTGCCCTCAGAACCACAGGCTGTGCAGGCGCTTGCCAGGTGGAGCTGCTGGCGACCCGCCCGCCTCTCCCCTGTGTCCACGACTGCCAGCTTCCAGGAGACTGAGGTCAGTAAAACGGCAAAGTCCCGTCTGTCTGGAGGAGCAGCACCCCTTGGACGGCAGGGCCACGGGCAGGGGAACTACAAGTGCACAGGAGAGTGTGTTCTCCGGGGCTCACGGGCAGACCGCGGGGCGCCACGAGAAACCACAGTGAAATTCTCCTGTTAATTTTCCGGACCTTGATTGAAATGGATCAGGCGAGAGAAGACAGCATAGAAAGCCTTTGCAACAAACCGTTAACATTCGACCATTCTGTCAGCGTGAAATGAGAAGAAAAATACCCATAGCAAGGGCTGGGGATGTAGCTCAGTCATGGAGCATTTGCTAAGCATGCACGAGGCCCTGGGTTCAACCCCTAACACCTCAAAAAGAAAAGCCCAGCGTGGTGGCTCACCCCTGTAATCCCAGCACTCAGGAGGCTGAGGCAGGAGGATCACCGTGTGTTTTGAGGCCAGTTTGGACTACATAGTGAGTTCAAAGCCAGCCTGAACTACCTAGCAAGACCCTGTCTCAAATGCAAGCAAACAAACAAACAGAAGACCCAGGCATTATGGTAGACGCCTATAATCTCAGCACTTGGGAAGCTGAGGCAGGAGGTTCGCTGTGAGTTCCTGGCCAGCCTGGGCTACAGAATGAGTTCAAGGCCAGCCTGGACTACATAGTGAGAACCTGTCTCAAAAAACAAAAACAAACAAACAAACAAAAAAAAA